GGGAGGAGAGACACCGGCCGCTCACAGCGCTCTCCTCACGCAGGCTGTCACTTTCTCTCCTCCCCGCTGGGACACAGAGCAGCGCCCAGCGGGGAGGAAAGAAAGCACGGATGCACCGCACCGATGTATCTGCAGGAAAATGACACTTTCGGCATTTAGCCAAAAGTGCAATTTTCGGCCGGCGCCCCCCCCCGGTTGTTACGCCACTGACCAGAATATATATTAGTTGGTGGCATTCTGCATTGTGCCACCGTATTATACAATGGAGAATACCATGCACACTACACTACAATGCAGGATACCATGCACAATACAATGCAGAACACCAGCAGTTATAGAGGAACATCAAATCCCAGCAATAATACATTAAGCAGCCTGTATAATGTACTATTGCTGGGATTTGTTGTTCCTCTATAGCTGGTGGTATTCTCCGTTGCGATGTATAATGTATTATTGCTGGGATTTGTAGTTCCTCTATAACTGGTCAGTGGTATTCTGCATTGTGCCGTATAATCATTATACAGCGCAATGGAGAATACCACCAGCTATAGAGGACTAAAAATCCCAGCAATAATAAATTATACAGCGCAATGCAGAATAACGCCAGCTACAGAGGACTACAAATCCCAGCAATAGTACACTACAGTGTACTATTGCTGCAATTTGTTGTATTCCTCTAAAGCTGCTGGTATTTTGCATTGCGCCGCTGTATAATGTACTATATTCCACACCACACTCTTTTTTTACTTCCACCGCTCCAAGCTTGCTCCCATGATGGACTACAATCTCAATACAAACTAGTAGTCCATCACTGGAGCCTTTTAAAAAAAAAATCTGATTAACCGATTAATCAAACTTAATAATCGGCCAACTAATCGATTTTGAAAATAATCGTTAGCTGCAGCCCTAAGGGCCAGTACTCAGGAAACCTGCTAATTCTGCAGGAAACTAAAACTTTTAAACATCAGAAAGCAGCATCCATTGTAAGTGATTTCTTTAAAATCCTTTTGACTTTAATATCACTTTAATGTCCAATAATAATGAATGTCTCCCCATCTCTCCTAATAGAGTACTCCATTAATCAGCTTTGTATGACATGACAGAGGCAATGATACTTACTGCTATACTACTGAGCATCCTGAGCAAATGCTTATCTTCTAATTATAATCAGTAGGGAATTCACTGTCATCATCTTTGTGCCTGCAGCACAGTAACGTGTGGAGAAATTGTGTTCATTTTATTTTCAGGTTTTCTTTATCTGATTAAAAAGCACTTACAATTTCTTTAACAGCAACTATTACTAGTCTAAGCAAGAGTTCAGTTTCCATTGACATTTTTTTTCAGTGAATACTAAAGAGTAATGTTCGCCTTAAAGTAATATTTGATATGATACATTTTTAGAACTTTACCCTGTCCTTGTTATTTTATTAAATGTAGAGATTTGCAGAGTAGCCCCTAGATAGATCCCCGGTTTCTTCTGATGTAAAGAGACCCTGTCACCAAATGATGATAAAAGCACAGAAATATCAAGTAGTTTAAATGCAAACTTGCAGCATTTTTCCTGTCCATCATTTTCTTTAATTCACATACTTTGAATTTGCTGTGGAACTTGGCCACCTCCAGGAAGAATTGATTCGATAGCACAGCCACAGTTACTCCTCCCTCTTGACATGACATAGTCCTCTTCTCTTCTTGGCATGTCTAATTAATGTCTGTGCTGGCCCAACAGCTCTGGCCCACACCTCCCTACAGCACCTTTTATGTAGCAGCCAGGAGATAAGCAAAGGGGAATGCTAAGAAGTGCCACTTGAGTGACATCTTTGAGTCTGCTGGGGCTGCTGACATCACGTTCCAAGATGGCGGTGTCCAGCAGGAGTCTCAGGGCTTTTGGTTGTCTACATAAAGTAGGCATTTACAGGTGCATAAAATGCTTACATTATGGTAAAATGCATTAGGTAAATAGATACCAAACATGTCAAGCCTTAAAATTGAAGAAAACAGCAAGAAACTACAATAACCAAAATGTCCCATTGGCGACGCTTTAAACACTTTTACGACTCATCAGTTTAGTGTTATCAGTGATTGATGGGCCTCGAATTATTGCTCTCACTCCGACGCTCGCGATCATATGTAACGTGTGGCACAATTTTCGTTTTTGCACGTAGGTGCATGCGACGCGTATTTGCGATTATATGTGCGTGCACGTGGGGGACTTTAAAACATTTCTTTTTAATCTGTTACTTTAATTTTTATTTTTTTTTACTCTCAGCTTTATTGCTATCACATAGGGGAATAACAAGCCCCCTATGTAATAGCAAATCTAATTATATATAATTATTTAAGCTAAATGCAGATACAAAGAAACATTCTTACAGAACAAAAGAAAATGATTCCTATTACAGTTATGACCTTATTTTAAGGATTGTAATAGTCCATTAAACG